AAAAACAGAAGGGGGGGCGGGGGGGGACCTTGACTGGGTGGCTCAGTTGGTTGGCGTATCATCCCACACACCAAAAGGTTGTGCATCCAGGAAGCAAGCGATGAATGTTTTCTCCCTCTCCCTCTGCCCCCTCCTCTCTCTAAAAATCAAAAGGTAAAGAAAAGATCCTTAAGTGAGGATTAAAAAGGGAAGGAAAAAAATAAAAATGAAAAAAGGGAGGGAGGACAATGTGCATAGGACAGTCACTAGTTTTTGCAGGAAGGACAGGATATATGTGCCTAAATGTACCCGCATGAAGAATCCGGAAAGACATACCCCACGTGGGAGCGTTCTCTCCAGGCAGAGAAAACGAACAGGTGGGAAACAGGCGGAAAGAAGACGTAACTTCAGCCTTTTTTACCTTCAGGAGAGGGTGCTGTGTACATTGTTGCTTAGTCAGATTAATTAATGAACCACTGAAATACAATAAAAATAGAAAAAAAAAAGAGCTGGCTTATAAAACTACGGAAGCTGCCGCCAGGCGTTATGTAAATCACTGAAGTGTGCACCAAGCATTGTAATAGCCATCGGACCACACGGACCCTGTGGCATGCCCCCACCCCCCCGCTGGTGGTCCACTGTTTGGGGGCAGACTCCGATTTGGCTCGGAAATTGGTCCTGGTAGTTCATCTGGCTTCTCCCCTCGCCCACCCAGGTTAAAATTAAATTGTGCACATGCTCTGCGGGTTCGCACAGCTAGTCTCGCCAGGAGAGCCAGCCTCGGTGTCATGACTGCTGGCTGGAGGGAGGGGCAGACAGCGCGGGGCTGTTTCCATAGAGCCTGGTGGCGGCTTAGCCACCTTGGATTTGGGTAATCCCCCTGAACCGAAGGAAATGTCAACGGAGGGTCAGCGTGGTGGCCCGGGCCTGGCCGGCAGGACACCTGCTGTCTAGACCCAGCTGCACAGACCCGGCTCGCAGGCTGTCGCGGCCACAGTCCCCTTCCCAAACTGGACTCGATCTCCCCTCAGGACAAGGAGGTGGTTGGGTGGGATGAGGCTCTGGCACTCAGGAATGAGGGGCGTACAGCTCATTCACGGCCGGGAGGACAGTCCAGGTCCTCGCGTACGAGGGACTGCAGCAGGGGAGACCCTCGGGGGTGGGACAGAGGTCTGAGTGGGTGCCCTGGAAATGCAATTAGCTCTCCTCTGTGCCCTTGCCAGGCTCCCCGGCCGCCCCTTCCTTCCGGTCTGCTTGGGGGTGCGGGGTGGGGTGGAGACACGGCCTGGGTTGGTATCGCAGCTCTGCATCAACCTCAACTTCAACCACTCCCACCTCCACGGCCTGTTAGTCATTCGTTAAGATAACTGTGTTCTCTGCTGTATACAGCTGGTGCTCATCCAGGGTGCTTCTCACACTGCTCCCTCGGGCCCCCTGTGGGGACAGCGTGAATGCGGATGCACACCCATCCTGCTGCTATTGTTATTATTACTACTATTAAAAGCTCATTTTCCCTGTGATTTTAACCAGAAAATGTTATGTAGGAGCCAATCACCCATCCTCCTACATGGATTGGCCAGCCAACTGTAGATTAAGCCAGATGGTTAAAATTTGCAGCCAAAAATTAAGTTAAAAAGCCAAATGACTCAAGAACCATTCCTCAGGAGTCTTTCTCGCCTTCCTCCTTCCTCAAAAATCTATTGACACTCAAATAAAATATGTCTAAAACCTGGTAACTGCCCTGAGCATCTTCGAGGCGAATGGGGAGAGAAATTTTTTTTAAACTCCATTGGAATACCACCAGTGCTAACACAGAACAAAGGCGTGTGTGTGTGTGTGTGTGTGTGTGTGTGTGTGTGTAAGAAAAAGAGAGGGAAGGTGGTGAGAAGAGGTATCAAGGAGCACTTCCCAGAGGAGGTGACACCTGAGCTCAAAATAAGAGTAAGTGTTGAAGCAACTGTGAGGCGCAGGGCCCTGCGGGACGTTCCCAGCGAGGGGGTGGCGTGGACAAAGGGCGGAT